CTACAGGCGCCCGCCACAACGCCTGGCCATTTTTTGGTTGCAGCCATTGTTGTTTGGCAGGCCCGGGCTGGGGATTCGAACTCGCCACCTTAGGTGTATGTGGCTGGCGCCTTAGTTACTTGAGCCACAGGCGCCGAGCCATGCATCCCACTTCTATAGCAGCTGTGTCAGCAATACACAGATCACTCCTAGGTTCAGAGTTTGCTTGGAAGACTCTCAGGATTCACCATATAGTTATAGTCACTGCTATGATTTATTACAGTGACAGATGCAAAATGAAATCAACAAAGAGAAAAGATACATGGTGTCCAGGGGAAAACCATTTACAAACTTCCAGATGTCTTCTCCCAGAGGAGTCATACAGGACAAGCTTAATTCCTCAGCAACTAATTGTGACAACACATAAAATGTTATTTGTCAGGGAAGCTCATAAGAGACTTAGTACCCCAGGTTTTCATTGGGGGCTGGTCATGTAAGCACACTCTACACACACACCAAAATTCCAGATGCCCAGAAGGAAAGCAAGTGTTCAACATAAATTGCAATATTGCTTGAGTGTCCTTAAGATATGAAAATAAAAATCACACTCTTAAAAAATTATTTTTAAAAATTCAGAATGTTATGGGGTACAAGTGTTTTGGTTACATGCATTGCTTTTGCACAGTTTGAATCAAGATGACAATTTTGTTCGTCCCCAGAAAGTGTGCTTTGTACCTGTTTGGTGTGAATTTCTCCACCTCTTCCTACCCCCCCTTCCCTCTGGGAGATGTCCACTGAAATTTACTACCATATGTACACATGCATGTTGATCATTTAACTCCAATTTAAAAGTGAGCACATGTGGTGTTTGTTTTTCCATTTTTGTGATAACTTCACTTAGGAGGATGGTCACCAGTTCGATCTAGGTTGTTACAAAAGGTATTAGTTCACTTTTTTTTTTTTTTGATGCCTAAGTAATACTCTGGTATACATGTATACATTCTGTTAATCCACTCAGGTATTGATGGGCACTTGGGTGGTTTCCACATATTTGCGATTATAAATTGTGCTGCTATAAACATTTGAATGCAAGCGTCTTTTTTATAGAATGACTTTTTTGTGGCAGGCGCCTATAGTCCCAGCTACTCAGGAGGCTGAGGCAAGAGAATCGCCTAAGCCCAAGAGCTGGAGGTTGCTGTGAGCTGTCATGCAACGGCACTCTACTGAGGGCAACAAAGTGAGACCCTGTTTCTAAAAAAAAAAAATGTGTTACCTTCTCCCAGCCTATAAAAATTAAGTTACAAATATCATGCTTTCTTTTCTTCATATTGATTTTTATCTCTGTATCATTATACCTTTGGAGAGTGTTATGTCGTGGCATATATAGATTTCAGTTATATTTTACAACTGGTCCTTATAGGCAGTAGTAGATTGATAATCTTATGTATATATTTGTAGGGTAAATTTTTTTCTTTCTTTCTTGATTTTTTTTTTTTGTCACCCTCAGTAGAGTGCTATGGCATCATAGCTCACAGC